ACAAATAAAACCACATAAGCGCATAAAGAGATATGTACATAGGTGTGTTATTAAAGTGATTTACATATAAAATAATAAATAAAATACTAACAATTATAAAATCATTTATTTATGTTAATCTATAAATAAATTATTTTTTATTTAGCCATTTTTTTATAGCTCAATAAATTTATAGATCTATAAATGAATCCAAAGAAAACGTAGCTTTAAAGACACTCAGAGTTTGGATTTGGCTTTTGATCAGGTTGAAGTTCTGGAGAACGACCCGGTTCCAGACCATGGTTCTGAGCAAGAAGCCGTGTCCCAGCGACCCAAACAAATTTTGACATCTGGAAGGAGTTGATGGCGGTTCCGGTCGGCTGCACCTGCGTGAGGCCCAGTTACTCCCAGTAGAACCGCTGCAGGTCCAGAAACACCCGACAGAACTGGCCTGACGCCGGGCAGCTGAACCTCTCAACATTTAGCTCTGACTTCCACCAAACTTTCCTCACTCGGGATTCCTGCAGAAACGCTGTGAGCCGGTCCAGACGAGCCGTTCTGAGACCCGGTCATGTGATCGAGTGGATCTAGTGTCCACTGCAGCTTCACTGTGGATCACTAGACCCAGTTCAGACTGGAACCATTTCAAACCAGTGTAAATCATCTTGCAGCTGAACAACCCCACAGCATGATGCTGCCTCCACCATAGGTACAGACCTGGCAGCCTCTCCAGTACCGCCGGTACTGTCCGTACCGTCTGTCCAGTGGGGACATAATACCTCATGTTTTCATTTTTAATGTAATGTTGTGAAACCAGATCCTCCCGTTCTCAAACACGGTTTCACTCTAAAACTTGCCGTACGAACAAATTTAGAAAAGTGCAGCTGCTGCACTTTTCTAAATGGCTCCATGTTTCTCCATCAGAGCACAGATCCTCAGGTAGCAGCTCACCTTGATGCAGCTACTGATGCAGCTCACCTTGATGCAGCTACTGATGCAGCTACTGATGCAGCTACTGATGCAGCTACTGATGCAGCTGCTGATGCAGCTACTGATGCAGCTACTGATGCAGCTGCTGATGCAGCTCACCTTGATGCAGCTACTGATGCAGCTACTGATGCAGCTCACCTTGATGCAGCTACTGATGCAGCTGCTGATGCAGCTACTGATGCAGCTACTGATGCAGCTGCTGATGCAGCTGCTGATGCAGCTACTGATGCAGCTCACCTTGATGCAGCTACTGATGCAGCTGCTGATGCAGCTACTGATGCAGCTACTGATGCAGCTACTGATGCAGCTGCTGATGTAGCTACTGATGCAGCTACTGATGCAGCTACTGATGCAACTGCTGATGCAGCTGCTGATGCAGCTACTGATGCAGCTACTGATGCAGCTACTGATGTAGCTGCTGATGCAGCTGCTGATGCAGCTACTGATGCAGCTACTGATGCAGCTACTGATGCAGCTACTGATGCAGCTACTGATGCAGCTGCTGATGCAGCTACTGATGCAGCTACTGATGCAGCTACTGATGCAACTGCTGATGCAGCTGCTGATGCAGCTACTGATGCAGCTACTGATGCAGCTACTGATGTAGCTGCTGATGCAGCTGCTGATGCAGCTACTGATGCAGCTACTGATGCAGCTACTGATGCAACTGCTGATACAGCTGCTGATGCAGCTACTGATGCAGCTGCTGATGCAGCTGCTGATGCAGCTACTGATGCAGCTACTGATGCAGCTACTGATGCAGCTGCTGATGCAGCTACTGATGCAGCTACTGATGCAGCTACTGATGCAGCTGCTGATGTAGCTGCTGATGCAGCTACTGATGCAACTGCTGATGCAGCTACTGATGCAGCTCACCTTGATGCAGCTGCTGATGCAGCTACTGATGCAGCTACTGATGCAGCTACTGATGCAGCTGCTGATGCAGCTGCTGATGCAGCTACTGATGCAGCTACTGATGCAGCTACTGATGCAGCTGCTGATGCAGCTACTGATGCAGCTACTGATGCAGCTACTGATGCAGCTCACCTTGATGCAGCTGCTGATGCAGCTACTGATGCAGCTACTGCTGATGATGCAGCTACTGATGCAGCTGCTGATGCAGCTACTGATGCAGCTACTGATGCAGTTGCTGATGCAGCTGCTGATGCAGCTACTGATGCAGCTCACCTTGATGCAGCTACTGATGCAGCTGATGCAGCTACTGATGCAGCTACTGATGCAGCTACTGATGCAGCTCACCTTGATGCAGCTGCTGATGCAGCTACTGATGCAGCTACTGATGCAGTTGCTGATGCAGCTACTGATGCAGCTACTGATGCAGCTACTGATGCAGCTACTGATGCAGCTCACCTTGATGCAGCTACTGATGCAGCTACTGATGCAGCTACTGATGCAGCTACTGATGCAGCTCACCTTGATGCAGCTGCTGATGCAGCTACTGATGCAGCTACTGATGCAGCTACTGATGCAGCTACTGATGCAGCTACTGATGCAGCTACTGATGCAGTTGCTGATGCAGCTACTGATGCAGCTACTGATGCAGCTACTGATGCAGCTACTGATGCAGCTCACCTTGATGCAGCTGCTGATGCAGCTACTGATGCAGCTACTGATGCAGCTACTGATGCAGCTGCTGATGCAGCTACTGATGCAGCTACTGATGCAGTTGCTGATGCAGCTACTGATGCAGCTCACCTTGATGCAGCTACTGATGCAGCTACTGATGCAGCTACTGATGCAGCTCACCTTGATGCAGCTACTGATGCAGCTCACCTTGATGCAGCTACTGATGCAGCTACTGATGCAGCTACTGATGCAGCTACTGATGCAGCTACTGATGCAGCTACTGATGCAGTTGCTGATGCAGCTACTGATGCAGCTACTGATGCAGCTACTGATGCAGCTACTGATGCAGCTCACCTTGATGCAGCTGCTGATGCAGCTACTGATGCAGCTACTGATGCAGCTACTGATGCAGCTACTGATGCAGCTGCTGATGCAGCTACTGATGCAGCTACTGATGCAGTTGCTGATGCAGCTGCTGATGCAGCTACTGATGCAGCTCACCTTGATGCAGCTACTGATGCAGCTACTGATGCAGCTACTGATGCAGCTCACCTTGATGCAGCTACTGATGCAGCTACTGATGCAGCTGCTGATGCAGCTGCTGATGCAGCTACTGATGCAGTTGCTGATGCAGCTGCTGATGCAGCTACTGATGCAGCTCACCTTGATGCAGCTACTGATGCAGCTGCTGATGCAGCTACTGATGCAGCTACTGATGCAGCTACTGATGCAGCTCACCTTGATGCAGCTGCTGATGCAGCTACTGATGCAGCTACTGATGCAGTTGCTGATGCAGCTACTGATGCAGCTACTGATGCAGCTACTGATGCAGCTACTGATGCAGCTACTGATGCAGCTGCTGATGCAGCTACTGATGCAGCTACTGATGCAGCTGCTGATGCAGCTACTGATGCAGCTACTGATGCAGTTGCTGATGCAGCTGCTGATGCAGCTACTGATGCAGCTCACCTTGATGCAGCTACTGATGCAGCTACTGATGCAGCTACTGATGCAGCTCACCTTGATGCAGCTACTGATGCAGCTACTGATGCAGCTGCTGATGCAGCTGCTGATGCAGCTACTGATGCAGTTGCTGATGCAGCTGCTGATGCAGCTACTGATGCAGCTCACCTTGATGCAGCTACTGATGCAGCTGCTGATGCAGCTACTGATGCAGCTACTGATGCAGCTACTGATGCAGCTCACCTTGATGCAGCTGCTGATGCAGCTACTGATGCAGCTACTGATGCAGTTGCTGATGCAGCTACTGATGCAGCTACTGATGCAGCTACTGATGCAGCTACTGATGCAGCTCACCTTGATGCAGCTACTGATGCAGCTACTGATGCAGCTACTGATGCAGCTACTGATGCAGCTACTGATGCAGCTCACCTTGATGCAGCTGCTGATGCAGCTACTGATGCAGCTACTGATGCAGCTACTGATGCAGCTACTGATGCAGCTACTGATGCAGCTACTGATGCAGTTGCTGATGCAGCTACTGATGCAGCTACTGATGCAGCTACTGATGCAGCTACTGATGCAGCTCACCTTGATGCAGCTGCTGATGCAGCTACTGATGCAGCTACTGATGCAGCTACTGATGCAGCTACTGATGCAGCTGCTGATGCAGCTACTGATGCAGCTACTGATGCAGTTGCTGATGCAGCTACTGATGCAGCTCACCTTGATGCAGCTACTGATGCAGCTACTGATGCAGCTACTGATGCAGCTCACCTTGATGCAGCTACTGATGCAGCTCACCTTGATGCAGCTACTGATGCAGCTACTGATGCAGCTACTGATGCAGCTACTGATGCAGCTACTGATGCAGCTACTGATGCAGTTGCTGATGCAGCTACTGATGCAGCTACTGATGCAGCTACTGATGCAGCTACTGATGCAGTTGCTGATGCAGCTACTGATGCAGCTACTGATGCAGCTACTGATGCAGCTACTGATGCAGCTCACCTTGATGCAGCTGCTGATGCAGCTACTGATGCAGCTACTGATGCAGCTACTGATGCAGCTACTGATGCAGCTGCTGATGCAGCTACTGATGCAGCTACTGATGCAGTTGCTGATGCAGCTGCTGATGCAGCTACTGATGCAGCTCACCTTGATGCAGCTACTGATGCAGCTACTGATGCAGCTACTGATGCAGCTCACCTTGATGCAGCTACTGATGCAGCTACTGATGCAGCTGCTGATGCAGCTGCTGATGCAGCTACTGATGCAGTTGCTGATGCAGCTACTGATGCAGCTACTGATGCAGCTGCATCATAACAGCTGTAAAGCTCTATAGTTTCTCTTCAGTGAGAATAAATGAGCCATGGATTCATTCAGACGAATCGTTTCGTCTGAATGAGACAAACTGAGCTCAATTATTCACATTTTGAAGTTTTCACATTTTTTATTTCTATTTCTTTATTTTGTTAGTTTATTGTCTGAGGATAAATCGGTTCAGTTTCATCGTTTAAACACTAAATGAAATCATGAAAAACATCTGGTTTGATGCTTCCTGGTCTCAATAACTGGATGAGGTCAGAGTTCAGTGGATGCAGGTTTGTAGTTGGTCATCATGCCTCGTTCACTTTGATACATGTTGACTTGTGTTGTTGCTGCTTTATTCATGACATCCTGGTGATTTTATGAAGCTGTTTGTGAAACAGTATTTGGTTGAATCTCATCTCCTTTATGAACAATGTTCATAAAATAAAAAGTTTTTTTTATTTATTATTGTGGCAGCAGAGACATTACAGATGTGATTTTATTTGAAACCAGATGTGACGAGTTGACCAGCGAGTTTCTGTCTGAACGGTCAGAACCGTCTCAGAGTCCGGATCAAAGCTTCTGATTTGGCTAATTTCCTGTTTGTGTGCAGATGATTAAAAGCTATGATGCATTCAGACTTTTCAAAATAAAAGCTCCTTTCCTCTGTCTTTTGTGTTTTATGGAACCCGACTTATTGTACCGTCATCAGTTATTTACCAGAAACTGAACTATCAAAAAGAAACAATCAGATTTCAAAATAAGAGCATGGAAATAAATGTCAAACTACTTAAAGAAGTAACTTAATTCCACTGAAACCCTAAAAGTTATCTTTGCTCTTGGTGGGTTTCAGACACGGACGGCGAGTGAAATTCAGATGGAGATCTGGAAGTGGATTTCTCCAGTTCCAAACAAAGCTAAACGGATCACGAGTTGCTCACACCCGAAATGGTGGAAAATATATGTGTATATTTAGAATATGATCCGTATCCTCTGTGTGAAAAAGACTTCTCTTATAACCTAGAGGATCTACCCGCATCGAGGTGATCCACATAGCTAACTATCTGCAGCTGCAAAGTTTGTATTAAACGACGAGGCAGAAAAAGTTTTCAAAAGCCTGGAGAATTAAACCATTTAGTTTCAGGTTGGGTCAAATTCAGGACCAAACGAAGCATTAAATGGCCGTCGACTCGTTTCTGAAAAGAATCACATCAGTTCTAAAGGCCAATAAATAATCAGCATGGAAACAAAATGTATCAATAATTTCAGTTTGTTTTACTTTGACAAACACAATTTAATTCCAGTTAGTTAATGATTTTTCCGTTAATTACTATTTCTATTTGTTTCAGTTTGAGTTATTTTGTTAGTTTTAGTTAACTCCTGACCTGTGAAGACTCACCCGAGCTGATCATGTGACTGTCCAGACAGGAAGTTACCTCATCGGGTTCCCAGTAGACCTGCGTTCCCAGTAGACCTGCGTTCCCAGTAGATCTGTGTTCCCAGTAGACCTGTGTTCCCAGTAGACCTGCGTTCCCAGTATCAGTCAGGAGGAAATGTTCTGACCCGTCTCTTTAAAATGAGGAAGACGAAGTTTCATTTTAAACTGCTGCCACTGGAACCAGACAAACATGGCAGGATTCTTCTGTGAACCAGAAGAAGAAATGAAACTCAATAAAAATACAAACTGATTTTCATTCAGAAGCTCAGGAATGATCATTTATTCCCCATTAAAGAATAAAAACTTATTAAAGCTACAAACTTTAATGACATTTAAAAGTTGATAGGGCTGCAGAGTGAAAAATAAAACATCTATTTCCTCTGATGGACGTTTTCCTGTATGTTCAGTTGGCTTGAAGTTTTTCTCTGGGTTTTCCTTCAAACTAAAGCTGAAGGTTTTTTCATATTTAGCAGGAATCAGCAGACGGATTGTTTCTCTTAAAAGCGGCGGCGGTTTCGTTTCCTGCAGTTCAGCTGGACTGAATTCTCCATATTTATGAATTAAACGCTCGACATCCAAATGTTTCCGCAAATCTTCAGACTTTAAATGAAGGGAAACTTAAACTATTTATTTTATTTTTATGTTTTTTTTTACTTCCATAGTCTGTCACATCACAACCACAAACGTGAAATTAAGTTACAATTATTAAATCCCGTTTATGCTTGTGGTTGTAAAATGACAGAATACGGAAAAGTTCAGGTTGAATCTTCAGCTGCCTGGAGGCCTTTGGTTAAAACGAGAAGATCAGCAGAAAACACGACAAAATGATCAAAAGTACGTATCTGTCAGGCAGAACAACAGGGTGACAAATTTCATTAAAAAATGGAAGATATTACTTTAAAAAAATTCTCATTAGACCATAACTGACTTTAAAATATAAATTTCAAGACTTACGAATTCAGTAAAGATGAACCAGAAATGTGCTCATTTAAAAGCATTTATTGTTTTTCATTCAGAAATCTTAATCACATTATTATTATTTTGTTCATTTTATTCTATTTAAACAAATTGTTGATGGTCTTTGCAGGTTTTATTATCTATTGTTGAAATAAGAATTTTAAAGTAGCACAATAGTACATAAGTTAACTTTTAGGTTAAGATAAACTTAGATACAGATCCAAACTGGGACAGCTGGTGACTCTCAGAACTTACAGAAATTCCTAATCAGAAAGCAGTCTTAGACTCCTTGAATCTCTTTACACAGAGAGTCTGTCTGCCAGGCAATTAAATTCCTGAGCATGGTTCAAAAGTTCACTAGGATCTTAAAACTTTTTATAAATAATTTTATCTATATTAGAATTAACTATATTTCTTTAAGCATGTTTTTAATTAGTTAGTTTAGATCCAAACTTATAGTCCTTATTTAGCATTACATTTTGTGCAAGCTTGGTTAAAAATACAAACTACTTTCTTGTTGAAGCATCTTGAGGCAGAGATAACGTTCCAGTTCCACGCTGTAAATCAGGTCGGAGCCTGGTACGGAGGTTGGGTCTCAGAGGTAATAAAATTAACATTAAGACAGCCCACACAAAGGAAAAGAACACACCTCCTAATGCATATATTTAAATGAGGAGAATACGCAGTCTATAAAAAATGGTTTGTTTCACAGCAGAAGTTGGAATCTCTTTGTGCTGAGTGAGAGTTTCCCGGAGGATGCATCTTCTGTTATTCTTTTGTCTTTTTTTACTCAGTTCTTTGTCTCTGTTTTGTAATGTCTTGGACTTTTGCTCTAGGTGAGATGCTTATTGTAAAGTTCTTCTTGGATTGAATTTCTCTAGATAAAACTCTGAATATCTGAAGTCTGACGTCGTATGATTGCTCTTTTCTCTCTGCACACTTACACAGGCACAGGAATTCGGGACTAAGAATTAATTAACGAGCTAAATCAAGTTATTCCTCTTTTTAATTCTTAACACTATAAACATGCAGCCATAGGGTTGTCTTTGTTTTTTTCTTATCAAATAAATAATAACATAAATGTAAAACATACAGATAAATAAGCTTGTAGTTAGCACGTGCAGACGACGTCCCGGCGTAATCTGGTTACGTTCAGGGACGTCGTTAAAGTCCGGATTGCAGCAACATTCCTAATGATTCATTTTTCTCACCATTGTATTGATCCGGACAGGAACCAGTGCTGACACTTCACTCTGAAAAACCCTTCCGCCAACATGGCGCCACTTCCGCCATGTTGTCTCTATGAACCGCCCAGAACAGCGCCGGCCTCAGAACGGGCTCTTTGCGCTTCTGCACCAGGAGGCACCAATGAGCTTCAGAGGCCATTCAGCCAGGAGCCAATGACATCTTTTATTATGGGGGAGAAGAGTAAAAACAAGCCAACCCCCTCTCCAGCCGCAAATGTGACAATAAAACCAATTCAGCTGAGCTGCACGGCTGTTCGGGCCAACATTTAAGAGAAAATGATGATAAAACTGTTTATAAAAACTGTTTGGTCAAAACCGCAACATGGCAAATTAACAAACAGTAATAAACAAGATCCGTTGAGAAAACCAACAAATATCAACTTTCCTCTGACTGACTTGCAGCAGCAGAACTTGCTGGAGGAAAAGGGGAGGAGCTACAAGGGCTGGAGCCAACTACGGAAGCCCAGGAGACAAAACGAGGCAGAGTGCAAAAAGGCGCCCCCTGCAGGCAAAAACAGGAAATAAAAAGAACTAAATAAGAAAAAAATCACAAATTCTCAATATAAATGAATATAAATGAATTGGAAACAATAATTAAAGAAAAGCACAGTTGTTACATTTCTGAAGCATAAATATCCCCGTCACTGGCCGCCTAGTGTCTACGTGAGGTACTGACGTTTTATATAAACGTCCCACCGACACATTATTATTATTATTATTATTAACAATAATAATAATAATAATAATAATAATGATGATGATGATGATAATAATAATAATCTGCTGAGTTGCAGACTGACAGGAAAATGTTTTATAAACTTTCTGGAACAGTTTCAGGCATCGATCTTCTAAGAAGATTTTTATTTCTCAGTCTGCAGTGCATGGAAAACGATTTTAAAGGTATTTCTGTGTTTTGGTGGTGAAATGTGTGTTTCAGCATTTTTCCTTTCCAGTTTCACTTCCTCGCAGATGTTCTGTGAATCTCAGTCAGGGAATCCAGAGGAGGAAGAGGAAGAGGAGGAGGAGGAGGAGCAGCCGCTGCTTTCTGAGAACAGCTGCTGCTCAACATATAAACGGAGCCGGCCGGACCGGTCCCGCACACTTCCAGAACCTCCGGAACCATGTAGCTCCAGCTGAGCCTCTGCCTCCTGGCTCTCCTCTGCTCCCTGCGGTCCAGCTCTGCAGGTCAGAACTTTCTCCTACTACTGATGGAGAATCTCCTCCTCCTCTCCTCTGTCTGTCTGCAGCAGCAGCTGCTGCTGCTGCAGCTGCTGCTCTGCTGCAGCTGCTGCAGCTATGAATCTGTTGTTGGTGCTGAAGTTCTGCTTTGGTTCGCAGCTCCAGTCGGTCCAGGCATGATACTGGACCCCTGCTGCCAAGACAACGGCAGGACGCCGATCCCCATAGGGAAAGTGAAGGAGATGAAAAACTCTCCGATTCACTGCAGAGTCAGATCTGTGATGTGAGTTCAGCACAACTTTCATAAATGACTGAAACAATCACTGCAAACAGAATCAGTATCATAATTAGCATCAAAACGGACATTCTGGGTTCACTGAGCACACTGCTGCTGGAACCAACATGGCTGCTGGAACCAACATGGCTGCTGGAACCAACATGGCTGCTGGAACCAACATGGCTGCTGGAACCAACATGGCTGCTGGAACCAACATGGCTGCTGGAACCAACATGGCTGCTGGGACCAACATGGCTGCTGGAACCAACATGGCTGCTGGAACCAACATGGCTGCTGGAACCAACATGGCTACTGGAACCAACATGGCTGCTGGAACCAACATGGCTACTGGAACCAACATGGCTGCTGGAACCAACATGGCTGCTGGAACCAACATGGCTGCTGGAACCAACATGGCTGCTGGAACCAACATGGCTACTGGAACCAACATGGCTGCTGGAACCAACATGGCTGCTGGAACCAAGCCAGCGTTTCAAAATAAAAGTCTCAATTTGTGATCAGAGCAAATCTGAATATTATTATATTCATTAATAATAATAATAATAATAATAATAATAATAATAATTATTATTATTATTATTATTATTATTAGACCAAAACCACGAAGGAAACAATGATTCTAAATACCAAAATATGAACTTTGTTCTGGTGCTGGGCGGTCAGCCGGTCCCGTTCGGACCCAGTTGGCCGGTCCGTTTCTGACCCAGGTCCGGTTCTGACCCAGAAGCTGTGTGTTCTCCTGCAGAGTCATCACTGAGAGCAACAGGAAGTTCTGCCTGGATCCGACTGGACCTGGACCCGGAAACTGCAGACAGAGTTTGGGACAGAAAAACGGCTCCACTGAGATCTGGATCGGAACCGAGTCTGCTGGAGCGGGAAGAACCGTTTGGATGTTTTAACGACACACTGGACGAGTCGCTGATAGTTCTCAATTTTTACTGCTAATTTATGATTTTATAAAGTTTTTGTTTTTCTTCATCCTCATGTCAAACAGGCTCATTATTTATTTTGAAGCTGATATTTTCCTTGCTGACATGATGTGTGTAAAACTCAAATTAATGCGGTTTATTTTCAATGTGTAACTTTACAAACAGGAGCCATTTTGTTCTCAACTATAAGTGACAATTTATGGTTTAGTGAAACTTTGGCTTCTTTTTGCTTCTTGCTTCAGTTTATCAGCTGAAAACTTTACTAATTCATTTCATAATAAAAGTTTTACTTTTCTATTCCTGGTTCTTTACCTCTTTATGACTGAAGAAGAAACTGTTGTTCATCCATTAAGCAAATTATTTGTAAGCCTTTCAGTAAATGAAGCTATCAGTGATCAAACTGATTATCAAGCCTGAAGCTCAATATTTTAGTAAACAATGTAACTATTTAGTTATCAAACTATATCCAGTTAGCAGGTAAATATTTGGCTTCAAATTTAATATTTAGTCAAGTTTATTTAGCAAACTAAATTAAATATTCAGCTTGGAGCTAAATACTTCATTAGCAAGCTAATTATCCAGTTTGAAGTTAAATATAATTAGTAATAAATATAAGTTAGCAAGCCATTTTGTAAGCCAGCAAAATATTGAACTAAATATTTAGCTCAGAGCTAAATATTTAGTTAGCAAGGTAAATAGAAAATTGGCAAGATTTCTAGTTAGAAAACTACATATTTATCTTCAAGCTAAATATTTAGATAATAAGTTAAATATTTAATTAGCAAGTAAACCTTCTGGTACAAACTAAATTCTTTGAGTTATAGATCTAATTATCTAAATGCTAATTAAAGACTTTGTTTGAAATTGACATTAATAAATGAATGTTGAAAATATGGCAGAACAGAAAAGTTAACCCCTATTTGTTTCTCTTAAGACAAGCTAAATAATCAAAATGATTTCAGTTAATTAAGCGAGAATAAAGCATTAATATGACCAGAATAAAGTCATAACATTAGAAAAATCAAGCTGTACTTTTAGGAGAACACAAAAAATAAAAATGAGGAATATTGAGCATTTTATGAAGTTATACTTTGGTATCAGTTTTACAGATAAGGAAATCTTTTTTTAACAGATTATTATCAGCACCAAGACTTTAAAACCACTGAGCAACAACCAACCCTGGTAACTATTGTAACTTTTTTCTCAATCAAACTACTTTGTCCAGTAATTTTAAGACATTTTTCTTTATTCCGCTGACAAAAATTCCCATATTTTCAAACACTCTGTCATACAACTCACAGGGACGACTGATATAAAAGTCAGACTTTGAAAATAAGTGACTAAGTAAGTGAGAAGCGAAACACAAACTGATTTCAATCTGAAATTAGGTTTCTCTGATTTGTTCTTCACAAATTCTCACAGAAACAGGAGACGGGTTTCCCCAGAAAACATGCTAAGCTTGGCAGTTAAAAATTGTGAAAAATTACAAAATTTATGAGGCGCATCTTGAGAAGACGACATGATTTGGAAATGATAGCATGAGCTCTACAGAGAGGTTCAGGGACGCATCATTTCATCACCTATAAACCAGCTTACTGGTGTATAAAAAACTTATTTAGAATAAATAAACGACGATTAGGCAAGTTGAGCCTGGTAACCCGCCAGGCTTATAAACACTGGGAGAACCAAAGGTGAACTTAGACACTTCTCAGCTAAATGCAACATTTTGGAAAACACACCTGAAGGATGATACTTAAACTGAGATGAGATGGGGAAGGTTTGCTGAGTAAGCACAATTCCGGGAGCGGTTTTGAGTTCCTCTAACTCGTGGAGAAACTCTCAGGCGTGTGGACCTTCATGTGCTGCAGCAGGTAGCTGCTCCTATTGAAGCCCCGCCCACACAGCGCACATGAGTACATCCTGTGGCCCGTGTGAGTGAGTGCTGCTTGAGCGAGGACTTGTCTGTGAATCGCTTCCCGCAGGCGGCGCAGGCGTACGGTCTCTCCCCGGTGTGGCTGCGGCAGTGCACCATCAGGCTGCTGCGGTGCTTGAAGAGCTTGCCGCAGGTCTGGCAGGAGAACGGCGCCTCGTTGGTGTGCGTGCGCAGGTGGACCCGTAGGTTGGACTTGAAGGTGAAGGCTTTCTGACAGGTGGGGCAGCAGAACGGTTTCTCCCCGGTGTGGATGCGGTAATGCGCGCGCAGCTCCGACGCTTTGTTGAACGCTTTGCCGCAAACGTCACACTTCTGAGTCCAGCTGGATCGCTCAGCCCTGCTGTGGTTCTGATTCGGCTTCGGCTTCTTGGTTTCGAAGCCTTTGGGCCGGTCGTGGCTCTCGGCTGGGGGAAAGCGGTCCCGGCCCGGTTCCGGTTCGGTTCCGGGTCCTTCGTAAGCCAAAGCCGCAGTGAGCACGTCGGCCTCATGCTTCAGAACCGGCTGCTCTTCCTCCGGGCTGATCCGCAGCTCCTCGTCTTCCTCTTTGACCTGTAGAGGTTCTGGTTCGTCCAGGCAGCGGTTCTGGATCTGGAGGTTCGGCTCGTCCATGTAGGGAAATGGCTGCAGCGGCGGATCTGGGCAGAGAAACGAGGCGCGTCAGATCAGAGTTCAGACCCTGACCGCTCAACCGGGTCGGAACCAGAACCTTCCTTATGTTTGACTATTACCACATATATCTGATCCTAAATGATAAATCCTTTGTTTTAAGATCATTTTAAAGTAATATAATGATAATAACAAAACTGGAACTGGGAGACATTATAAGAGTCCAAGATAAATAAACATAACAACAGAAATAACAAATCAAATGAATTATTACATTTTCAAACAAAACTGGGCTGGTTGAGACCAAAACACCGAAATGACTGGAGACTTTTTTTCATCCAGTTTCTGTAGAAAGAGAGAAAAACAATAAATCATGCAAATGGAAATTATTGAGCCTGTTTCAAATTATCTTGCGATTCATTGATTTACTGATTATTGCAACAGTAAATATGTATTTTAGACCCAAAATATAAAACTACTAGAAAAATATGGAATTTAATCTGATGACCCATTATTGTCAATTGATAAGAAATTATGAATTTGTTTTATTGTATTTGAATACTGGTAGTTTTTGAATCACAGGTGATATTTTATTGGTGAACATTAACTTTTGGTTCAAACGTCACAAGTGTGGTTTGTAGCCAATACTTCCAATAAACCGATCAATCAATCGATGGACGGATGAAGACCCGCATCATTTGTCAACCAGTGGAGACAGAAGCTCCCTGCTGTCTCAGATCACAGGGTGGACATAACAGCTCACACTGGGATCTAAACCACTTAAACTAGTTAAACTAATTAAACTAGTTTCTCGTGTTTATTGAGATTTTGGTTCAACAAATCTTACTTTTAGAATGAGGTGAACTTATTGATGCTGAGCACTGCATGTTTTGTTTTGTTACATTTCAATCGGAGCTCGAAGCCAACATGAGGGATTTTGCCCCATGTTGGGGCGGTTTCTCCTCCGGTCGGTTTCTCCACCGGCTCACTGAAAAGGAGCGGGTCCACAGATTCACTCTGATCTCTCGGCTCTCCAGGTCCAGTGAACATGAGACACCCTGGGTCAGAACCGAGCCCGGACCCTGCAGCCCGCAGGCCCACCGCGGCCCTCCTGACCTGCTCTCTGGAAGCCGCTGTCCGGCCTCCAGCCGCCGTCCAGCAGTCTGCGCTGCCGGTCCAGCTCTTCCTCGTACTGGGCGACGGTTCTCTGGAAGACCGAGAAGATTTCCTCCGCGGCGGCAGCCAGCCGCTCGCTGATGAACTCTCTGAGCTGCTGGGCTGAAGACCCGCCGGACATGTTCACGGCTAACAGCCACTGCAACACAACAATGGCGCCGGCGGCTTCTTCTTCAACAGTTTGAATTGTCCGGTTACATCACCGCCCCCTGCTGGCGGAGCAGCAAACTGCTGCTCTGAAATATTCCAGCTGAAAACGCTTCATGAAAGTTCATAAAACTAAATATTCCCTTTCTTTTCTGGTTTCGTCCAAATTCAGAAGCAACCTGAAGCACTAATTAAATAAATACTGCAAGTTATCCCGAGGTTTCTCAAGGCATAAATAAGCAATAAAGCTGCATAGAGACAGAATTTTAACATTTGTCTATTAATTAAAATGCGGTCATTAAACAAAAGTTTCTGCATAGATAAAAAGATTAAAATAGTTTATTTTACATTTAATTGGGAACTTTACTTTGTATGAGTGCAAAAAAATCTCAGTTTTTATAGCTGTATAGTTAAATTTTTGTTCACAAATCCATCCCAACAAATAATAACCTCAATCCAGCTTCATTTATAAAGATCTACAGTGGACCAAAGCACTGCAAGAGTTAATCAGAAAGATAAACCAGCTGTTCATTCATCCATGTTTGGCTTAAACTCTCACAAATAAAAGAAGCTTCAGCTTCTTTGCACCACAAATCTGAAAGAAACTTTCAGAAAACTGCTAAACAGCCAAAACACTTGAGATTCTTCACATGCCCAGTCCTGCTGGACCACAGATCACTTTCTTTCAAAACATTTGCTATGTTTAGTGAAGTTCAACAGATTAAATAAAAGCTGATTTTGGTAAATAATTTTAGTAAAAGTCTTTGAATAAACATGATTTCCTCTAATGTTAAAGGTTAGTTGGTTACACTTTGTGTTTTACTTTACATTTTCCATTGTAAGAAAATTACAAGTTAAATCTTCCATCTGCATCAACAGGCCAAATTTGTATCATTTTTGAATTGCAGTTGGGGACCGCTCAAGGGCCACATTTGGCCCCTAGACCACACTTTGGACACCCCTGATCTACAGAGACAGGAAACTGTTTGGTCTCAGTTACACGCCGTCTCTCTGTCGCAGGGGAAGCCGAACTCCTGAACGAATGGCGAGAACATGCAAACTCCATGCAGGAAGACCCCAGGCTGGGATTCAAACCCACAACCTTCTAGCTGCAAGACTACCGACTGCTTCATGCTGCAACCTTCAATCAGTCTGAACAGTTAAAAGCATCCACTAGGTGGCGCTTTGAGATTTCATTAATCTCCGACTTGATCCTGGAATCAAGTCCCTGGAAATGCTTGACAGAATCCATAAATATAACAATTATATTAATAAAGTCATAGAATAATAATCTTCATTAATAGAACAATAAATCACAAATTTAGCAAAATCACAATAAGCTTTTTGGACTGTAGTAAATATCAGCTAATTATAACGACCATGTAAGAAAATGTGATTCTTGTTGTTTAATCTTGTTTTCTGCAGGTCAAACACAAAACTGCAAGAGTTTAAAACAATAACACACAGATAAAACTGAACCAGGTCAATAAAAATAATCCCGTTAGGATGCAAACTAAAATCATTTTCATCTGAAGAAGCTGATTAAATGAAGCAATGTTTCAGGACGATCAATTCTTCAGTCAGAGGCTTCTTCAGACTCAGTGCAGTACAGACTGCTGCAGGACATCCATCCCACCATCTTCAATAACTGCTGAAGAATCTAAATTCATAAGTTTTTTTCCCTTTGAGATTAATAAAGTATTTTTCACTGAGGTCTAGAAGAAGCTGATATTCTGCAAAACCAGGTTCTGAAACCACCAGAACCCTCTGATCAGAAAGTCCGTTCCTGATTGGTGTGGCTGATCCAATCAGCTCCAGCAGTCTGCGGCGGGTCGGACCCGGTGGAGCGGAGCTGAACGCGGTCTCTGGGCTGAACGTTTTTCCCGCTCAGAGCTTCTGCGCTTCGCTGCTCCACAACCCAAACCAGAACAAACTCACCTCAATGTGCAGCAAGACACTTTGGGAGCCATCTTGGCTCTGCCACAGCAGCTAACAGTCGTCATCTTCTTGTAGGGTTCAGCCAATCAGATAAAAGCTGAATCCTTGGATTGAGTTCAGTGACGTTGAGGTACCTCAGCTTCCCAAGCTGATTTTAGATCTACTCTGAAAAAAATGCAAATAACAACAACATGTTCCACAGAGAACATCAGAGAACAGGAGAATCTGCCAATAAGAGAAGACGAAGTCATCAGGTGTGTGTGGGGTCAGGTGTGTCTGGGGTCAGGTGTGTGTGGGGTCAGGTGTGTCTGGGTCAGGTGTGTGTGGGTCAGGTGTGTGTGGGTCAGGTGTGTGTGGGTCAGGTGTGTCTGGGGTCAGGTGTGTCTGGGTCAGGTGTGTGTGGGGTCAGGTGTGTCTGGGGTCAGGTGTGTCTGGGGTCAGGTGTGTCTGGGGTCAGGTGTGTCTGGGTCAGGTGTGTGTGGGTCAGGTGTGTGTGGGGTCAGGTGTGTGTGGGTCAGGTGTGTCTGGGGTCAGGTGTGTGTGGGGTCAGGTGTGTGTGGGTCAGGTGTGTCTGGGGTCAGGTGTGTGTGGGGTCAGTGTGTGTGTGGGTCAGGTGTGTCTGGGGTCAGGTGTGTCTGGGGTCAGGTGTGTGTGGGGTCAGGTGTGTGTGTGTCAGGTGTGTCTGGGGTCAGGTGTGTCTGGGGTCAGGTGTGTCTGGGGTCAGGTGTGTGTGGGGTCAGGTGTGTCTGGGGTCAGGTGTGTCTGGGGTCAGGTGTGTGTGGGGTCAGGTGTGTGTGGGGTCAGGTGTGTGTGGGTCAGGTGTGTCTGGGGTCAGGTGTGTGTGTGGGGTCAGGTGTGTGTGGGTCAGGTGTGTCTGGGGTCAGGTGTGTGTGGGGTCAGGTGTGTGTGGGTCAGGTGTGTCTGGGGTCAGGTGTGTGTGGGGTCAGGTGTGTGTGGGTCAGGTGTGTGTGGGTCAGGTGTGTCTGGGGTCAGGTGTGTCTGGGGTCAGGTGTGTCTGGGGTCAGGTGTGTCTGGGGTCAGGTGTGTCTGGGTCAGGTGTGTGTGGGTCAGGTGTGTGGGGTCAGGTGTGTCTGGGGTCAGGGTGTGTGTGGGTCAGGTGTGTCTG